GAGTCTTTTCTTGCTCAGGGTATTGAGGGTAGCTTCATAACACTTATTTAGCGTCAGACCTCGTTTCAAGACCAGTTGTGGTTAGAGTAAGACCTACTCTGCCAATTAAGGGTGTATCATTGTTGTTGGGAAACGATTTGACTGGGGGAAAAGTTGTTGCCGAACCCAAAATGGTTAGCAAGCCGATCACTGTTTCATCTAAGGGTGATGTTGTCGTTGAGGATAATCCTGATGTGTTTCCCTCATGTGCTGTGACTCGAGCTCAGGCTAAGAAATTAAGCCAAAACCAATGATAGACATGGATTCAGAGGACGATATTTTGATTTGTCTCAGACATTTTTTGGATCCGACGGGGATATTGTGGATAATTGTCTTACTGACGATTGCTCGGTGAGTGACAATGATGGACGCGAGGAATTTGATTTACCTGGTGAAGTTCCAGTTAATTTATTATTATTTGCTGTTCGTGAGCCAGTTCAGGAGTTGTTGGGGTTTAGCCCATTTGAGTGCGTGGTTCTTTGAAGTTGCTGAAGGAACAATGGTTGGAAGACGACCAGAAAGAAATGCATTTATTGGATTACGTTTCCAAGTTTCGGTCCAGACTCTTACGTGCTTGTGAATTGGCTCAGACCAGACCAGAACGAAAAACGTTTATAATCGAAAGACTAAACAACATAAATTCCGTCCTGGTGACAAAGTTTTAGCATTGTTACCCCCTATAGGAGAGAGGGAGAAAAAAAGAAAGAAAGAAAAAATATAAGACTGTAAAATTGCAGTTTATCCCTACGAGAGTATGATTTGGAGATAATCCATGTCAAGGGGTTAATAACATTTGTATTGATGTACTTTCACTATGTACTATGTAATTTTATGATCATAAGGTTATTTGTATTGGTTGTGTTCTATACTGTAATTATTATTGAAGTTTTGTAATCCTTTGAATAATGTATTATATTTAACGTATTGTTGTCAATGTATATATATAATATTTTAGTTAGAAATTGTCTAGCGCCAATTTTTAATTCTCCAAGGAGGGAGTTGTAACGGATT